CTTCTTTCAAAGCCTGTGAGGCGTGGGAATAACAATATGTATACAGGTAAGCAAAATCCGTAAAACGGATGTGCACATAAAAGTCATGTTCTCGAAAAAGACCAAAGTCCATAAGTGGACGAACAACATGAACTCGCCGCTGGAGTTCATAGCTCGTGAACGCAAAGAAGAAGAAGAAGGCTGCTGTGCCTCCACTGCTGTTTTTATGAATAATACTTAGTGAGGTATCAATCTCTTGTACGATCTCGTACCACTGTGACAAATTCAAAATAATTTCTTTACTTCAAATAAACGGCTTACCAGCGAACTGGAACCCTAGTGCGTGAAAGATTAGACTGTGTAACGATTTCACTAACTTCTAAGCCACAGAGCGGTGCACACTTGTCAGAAACTTGCCTGACGGGCCGAAGCTTTTAGATTGGAACCACAATAAAGCCAGCGTGACTCTCATCACAGCCCACCTGAAAGAAGCTCGTTCTCTCACGGTCTCTGCCTGTCTCGTGCACTTTCAAACCCAGGGTGTAAGTTAGCGAGAGAAATTCTTTAGGGACCCGTATCAGTTTGCCCGAGGTCTATTCGAGCAACCGAAGTCTGGGACTCTGGTTGTCAGTCAGAAAGAACTTGAGCTACATCTAAGCAAGATGTACTCTGATAAGAAGAGGAGAGAGCCTCTTGATGACAATCCAGAGATCCTTAGCGGACTCAAACAGCCTTCGGTGCCGAAGGTACCATTTAAACTGGTACCTCCCCTTTGGTCTGAGGTTGAGGACGTTGTGAAAAAAGCCAGCGGCAAGTCTGCCCCAGGTCCGAACGGTGTTCCGTACGTTCTTTACAAGCGTTGCCCGAAAATCCTAAAAATGCTTCACGTCTTGTTGAGACAAGCGTGGATCCGCAATCACATATGTCCAGAGTGGTCAAAGGCAAATGGGGTCTACATTCCCAAAGAGCAGGACTCGAAGAGTCTTTCCCAATTCAGGCCCATCTCGCTGTTGAATGTTGAGGGTAAGATATTCTTCTCAGTCATGGCTCGCCGGCTCACACAGTATCTGATGACTAACAAGTACATAGATACGAGTGTTCAGAAGGGTGGCATTCCAGGCGTTCCTGGGTGCCTTGAACACGCGACCATGATATGGGAGGCTATCCAGAGAGCCAAGCATGAGAGAACCAATTTGCACGTTATATGGTTGGACTTAGCCAACGCCTACGGGGCAGTCCCCCATAGGCTACTGTGGCGAGCCCTGCGCATGTTTCACGTACCGACACAGATCAGTCAAATGGTCGAGCAATATTTCTCTAAGTTCGCTTTGCGCTTCTCTACCTCGACGTTTACCACGAGGTGGACTGAGTTGCAGATTGGGATAGCTATGGGGTGTACGATCTCACCTATACTGTTTGTCATGGCAATGCAGATCATGTTGGACGGGGCGGCCGGCTACGGACTGGGCCTTCAAATAGGGGATCACTGGTTGCCGCCACTGCGCGCATTTATGGATGACACGACTATTATAACGGGCAGCGAGGAGTCTGCCCGCACGATCCTGAATAGATTGGACGCGGTGGTCCAATGGAGCGGTATGCAGTTCAAACCGCAGAAGTCGAGGAGTCTGTCAATCCATAAGGGCAAGGTGTCGGCGACCAGTTTTACGGTGGCAAGGAACAAGATCCCTACGGTTCTGGAGGAACCGGTGAAGAGTCTCGGTCGCGTTTACGATTCGAAGTTATCTGACAGAGCGGAAGTCCGGCGAATACATGAGTCACTGGCTACAGGCCTGCTCGCGATCGAGCGATGCAGGCTGGTCGGGAAATTCAAGGTATGGTGTCTCCAATTCATGTTGATTCCGAAGCTTCTATGGCCACTGCTAGTCTACGAGGTGACGATGACTGCAGTGGAAACCATGGAAAAGAAAATCAATACAGCCTTAAGAAAGTGGATTGGTGCACCGCCTTGTCTGACCGACGTGGCTCTGTATTGTAAACAGGCTAAGCTGGTACTTCCGTTCAAGTCAATAACCGAAGAGTTTAAAGTCGGCAAAGTTAGGCTCGCCATGCTTTTGCGCGAGTCCTCAGACCCAAATGTCATCGCTGTCCAGCCCGCTCTAAAGACTGGCCAGAAGTGGAAGGTCCTCGATGCGATAGGAGCTGCTCAGAACGCACTAAAGTTGAAGGAGGTAATGGGTTACACACAAACCGACCGTCGAGGCCTAGGGCACGGGAAAGTCAATTGGTGGTCAAAGGCCTCAGCCAAAGAACGCCGAGACATGGTGATACAAACGGTGAGGGACAACGAAAACGAGATTCGGGGTTCAGAAAGCAGCCCAGCAGTCGCAGCAGGGCCATTGGGTCAGCCTGGAGAGCGCATTGCCTAGAATACTCACATGGGGTGAGATCTGGCGGATGACCCCGTTGCGACTGAGCTTTATCGTTCGTTCGGCGTACGATGTATTACCGTCCGGTGTTAACATGGTTAAATGGTCTGCGACCAACGATCCCGACTTTGCCCGTTGTGCAAATCAAAGCAAACTCTTGAGCACGTCCTGTCCGCGTGCAGGAAAGCCCTAGGTCAAGGCCGCTATACCTGGCGCCACAACAAGGTGCTAAAGAGTTAGCAGCGCCGTTGTCGACCAGGCTAGAATGAGGGCTAATGCCAGAGCCAGTTCTAGTTATCGTCCTCAAGGGTTTCCTCAATGGCAAAACGCAACGTTTCGCGTTCATTGTACATTTTCAAAAGGTAATGTCAACAAAACGCATTCGCTCCATCTGTGCTAGACTCTGCGAGGGACTGGTTACTGGCGGTTGATCTGCCAGGACATGAACGGTATCCCGAGTTGATCCGTAAAAACCGGCCTGCGACCGGACATCGTTCTCCATTCTGCGCAAAAAAACGGCAACTCATCCTGATTGAGTTGACGGTCCCGTTTGAGTCGCGGATGGAGGAGAATCATTTGTATAAGCTCGAGAAATACAGTGATTTAGCAGCCGGTTTAAGGAGAAACGAGGCTTACACAGTGCGGGTATTTGCCGTCGAAGTGGGAGCGAGAGGCCTCGTTTCCACTTCGCTCTACAATGTGGTAAAAGAGTTAGGATTGCGCGGTAATGAACGGAAACGGGCACTCAAAAAACTTGGTGAGGTGGCCGAAAGGGCATCCAGCTGGTTGTGGACGCAGCGCAACAACGTAGGGGACGGGCCTCGGTGAGCTGGTCCGGGTATCTAGTGGAAAAGAGTTTCTTATCCCTTTGAAAAGTCCATCGTGTACGAATTGTCTGCCAGTGTCTCTCTGCCAACTGCTAACAAAAGTCCAACATGTGTCCGGTAAACCAAAGTAAGCTTGTCGCTCGGGTCGTCCAGGCATGCGGACTGTTCTAATTACGCTGTCGCGGCGGCTTCTTATCTCACAGTACCTCCTTCGAAACCACCAAGTCGTCTTGTCTCTGGCCGAAAGTATAACACCATCCGGTAATTCTGTGCGGCGGGGAAGCAGCCCTGAGCTTCATGAACTCAGGTGGGCCCACCTCCGAATACGTTTAGGAATCGTGGGCCGAAACGTGTGTCGAAAGAGGATAATTTCTACTGATGACTGTAGATCCCCGCTGTACTTGCTCCCTGTGAGTTTATTCTTATATATCCTGTGCGCATCTTCTTGATGGTCGGTCCCTGCTCCTTCTTCCTGATGCCCCGTCTCCTGCCATCATTCTTCTCAATCAGCCTCGTTCTTTATATGGCCAAAATATTTCAGTTTACTAGAAGATGTTTACTAGTCGATTTTCTTTCTCGTTGAGAGATTTCAGGATGTCACGTGTCTTTTCTTCTTGGTCCATTATATTTGGACCATACATGCAGGAGTGCGAGGAAATGAAACAGCTGATTTTAATGCTACAAAGGCTACAACTACGATATCGCCATATATTACTTATGTTGATATAAGACACAAGGTTAGATCAAATTAGATTTGTAAGAATGTGTGAACGAAAAGGACTGGCATAAGAAAGGAAAAGAACGGTGTGTATAAATCGGAATGCTACGGGAACAATTAGCATCTACACCTTAAGACACTTGCTGAGGGAGACGGAGCAGCTATGGGTATGGCCGGTGTGATGTCGATTCTTAAATCAGTAATTAGTATAGACCATGGCATTTGGAGAGTCTGGCCGGAATTGTTGTACTCGATTTAAAGCTTCAGATAGAATTGGCCGTAAAAGAGAACATGGAAATTGCATGGTAAGCAAAGAAGATAGACGAGATGTTTACCATGTCATCCCACCTAGATTGGTTTGGTCAATACAAAAATGGGTCTAAAATAAAATGCTTGAAGCATCAGTTGTGTGAAGATTGTCTTTTACTTTCACTTAACTACAAATGCGCATTAAAAAATGATTGGCAGCTGCCTGCGTATTTTGGAAAGATTTTCAACTCCACATCGTTGTGCCCGGGCAGTGCCGTTAGGCTGCTCTTGTCGATTTCCAACTGCCAAGAGATTATTTTTACGTGTGCAACAATACACACGGGCGTCCGATGTTACTACCAAGAGCCCAGTGGAGATTACTAGAAGTTCACGTGAAAACACAATCCCAGCCTTGTCCGAGACTTGAAACTGGGACATCCAGCACCTGGGGCAGACGCCATGCCTCGAGACCACTCAGCCCCCCCCCCCTTCCCCCGTGTGTATGTGTGTGAAAGAGAATGTGGGTGCGTTCGTGTGTGTTCGTGCATGCGTGCGTACGCACGTGCGTGTGTATGTGTGTATGTGCTTGCGTGTTCTCCTTCCCCTCTTCTTTAAGCTGTTTTGTCACCAGAGCTGAGTGGATTAATTTCTAACAATACAGACGCTTGGTACCTGTTTATGGCTTCTCTCTGCAAGGTGCTGATTCACTGTTTTCATTTATGGCGGGAAACATAAGTTTTTTCAATGTTGCTGTTGTCTGTAATGACTGATTCTGTACAGAATGTCTCAGATATGTTCAAGCAATCTCAAATGTTTATCTTTTCTACTTTGTTTCAGGTGTTCTGGTTTATGAAATAATGGGCCACGGAGGAGGGGGTCACGGTGGTGGTGGTCATGGCGGTGGAGGTCATGGTGGCGGTCACGGTGGAGGCGGCCACGGTGGAGGTCACGGTGGAGGTCATGGGGGAGGACATGGAGGTGGGGGTCACGGCGGAGGCCATGGTGGAGGCGGCCACGGTGGAGGACATGGCGGCGGAGGCCACGGTGGAGGACATGGCGGCGGAGGCCACGGTGGAGGACATGGCGGCGGAGGCCACGGTGGAGGACATGGCGGCGGAGGCCACGGTGGAGGACATGGTGGGGGCGGCCACGGTGGAGGACATGGTGGAGGTGGCCACGGTGGAGGACATGGTGGGGGCGGCCACGGTGGAGGACATGGCGGTGGAGGTCATGGGGGAGGACATGGAGGTGGGGGTCACGGCGGAGGTCATGGCGGAGGCGGTCACGGCGGAGGAGGTCATCATGGCTAGAAATTACTTGACAGATAGTCTCAAAGCTCACACTCCTCACGGTGACGGTATCTTCATGTAGCTGGTCCTGAATAGATGACACCATTCGCTGTGACAACAACATACAGATGGACCCAACGGAAATTGTGTTAACAGAACATTTTATGCCAGCTCTACGATCATGTGATGTTTAATTGTACACAGTATTGCAGTTACTCTGTTACTGCATAGCATGCTAATTCAATAGTTTGTACTTGATGGTTCATACAATGTTTAGCATGTAATGAGATGGGGGAAATGATACGGTGACAACTGGACATCTGGAGGGTAAAAGAAGCAGTTAGACACTATGTTTTTCAGTTTAGTGCCATATCGGGATCTATATAGATCATCTATACCGAGAGCGATTGGCAGTACACGTGACAGACTGATGTGGATTAATATAATGATCATCTTGCAACTGGTTTGACTTTGAGAAGAATGGCGATCGAATACACTCTGGTAAATTGATATAATGAAAATTTACTATCTCATTAGGTTTTATTTGGGATTGTATTATGAGTGTGTGTGTTTGCATGCTTGCCTCCTTGTTCGTTATCAGCCAGCTAATGAATTAGGTGTCTTATTACCAAATAAATCAGCTAAATGTAGCATTATCCTAACCTGTGTTTTAATGAACCTTGAAGGTACTTTTTCAGCATTATAGTCCCGGTCCCCCTTTCAGAAGACGCACGCTTTCGGTAGGATAAAAATCTCTCTTTTCAAACAAAAAATCCAGCCCGTGTGTTTCATAAAAAATGCATCTTCAGTGTCTCGTATCCAGCATCACGGAAGTCGGCTTCTGACTTAATTTCCGAAAATTGCAACCATCATCGCCGGTCTCCATGGGCTACCAAGCCTTTTAACTTGGCTTTTACCAGCTAATTCTGAGGGGCCGTAGAACAGTGGCTAACCGCTTGCCTTCCAGCTCAAAGCCTTTGGGTGGGAATTCTCATCATTGTAAAAATGACCTAGCCTCGCAGGTCGACCCAGCCTTAATTCACAGAGGCTGCCCACTCGACGATCTGATCTGAACATACAAAGCCAAATGCAAATAAGAAAAAGAGATTTGGTAATAAAAACATGGGTCTTCCACAATATGATTTATGCCATGGAAGGGTCCTTTTATGCTGTGTTTTATCGTTACGTCTGAAAAATA